TAACTGTTGATTTGCCCCCTGAACTTGTACCTATCTTTCAATTTACCCCTATCCTCTTTTTGGAAAATTATTGATATGAACTTTTATTTTTAGCTAATTTCCTCCCTACCGTCTAAATTCTCAACATTTCATTCAATTTTCCGTTAAATATGAGTGCAAAATTGGTCAATTTGTACATTAAAAATAACTAAATACTGAAAAATACAATAACATGAAATATGAAATAGAAAAAATGGAAGAATTTTAACAAAAATCAACCCAACGCTCCCTCACAACCTTTCTCTGTCTCTATCTATGTCGCTGTCTCTCTCTCCCTCTCTCTCTCTCCTGCTCCCCCAAATTCCATCCAATTCCACTCAATCACTACCATCAACACCCACCTTTAATTTCAAAGACTTAGCAGGATTGTTTTCACCAATTGAAGCAATACACATTTGTTATTTTAAATAATAAATACCCATTTGACTTGGTTCATTGCTTATTGATATTAAGGAGCTTATGGTAAGCGCCTTCATGCCTTGAATCATTTATCATCAAAATATTTGACATCCTAACTGATCATGCATTACATACGCTGACAAAAATTTGCGGACTTTGTCTATACACACGAGGAAGAAACACATACATATTTAGGTGTGCGTTCAGGGCTTCAAAGCCAATGAAGACATTCAGAATTTCATTTTGGAGTGGAGGAGCTTGTGCTAGGGGCATATTTGTGTATGTGAGCATGAGTTATATCCCGCACAAAAATGATAAGAACTACTCTCTCACTTGTCTTTGGCAATTTATGAAGAGGTTGTACTTGAGCCACATTGTTAAGTTAGCAAAATAGATGCATTTGAATAACTATAGGCAATGATTAAAATATCGGCCGTGCAGATAATATCGGGCCTCCAATTTACGGATATTTCGAGGGATATATCGTTATCGTTTTGGGTATCGGGAAAAAATCAACAAAAATGACAGATAGAGGCATTGAAACACATAATTTTGGTGTAAAACTTTTATAGATGTTATGTACATTGTCAATGAATGTATTGAACAAATAAAACTCAAAATTTACTAATAATAAGATATATATATATATATATATGATGAAATATAAATGGTATGTAATACGCGTTAATGAAAAGTTTGAAAATAAAAAGTTGATTAGAATGGATAAACCATGCATAAATCCATAGTTTATTTGAACATTGGATTACAATTTAGATGAGTGTCCAACTACATAAATGAAGAGCTCCTATGAGGTTCAAACAATGTGGAACAACCATCTAGATTCATACAATAATCATACCAAGTCATGTAACCCGAGTAGTTTGTAAGCCATGTTTGAACATGGTGCACATATGTCTCTCTTGAGCTCCATACTGTCCTCCCATATATGGGATAGTTAGGATTAACCCAACTAGTAGGTCCATAATCTGTTTCATCATCTTGAGCTCCATATCTAGTTCCACTATAATCAGACATGACATAACCATAGCCATCATAAGATTCATTTGAGTTAGTACTAGGTCTAGATTCTTTTGATGCATACTCTAAAACATGCATACTCCAAAACATCTTTTGAATTGAATATTGCCAAAAGCCTTCACACATATATATAATCACTGCACATATACCTCCAAAAAATCTTTTCAATTTCAATTTGCTTCAAAACTTTTGAATTTTTTTGGGTTTTGTTATGGGTATCGGGAAATATCGGTAAAATATCGGGGATATCGCACTTATCGGGGATATATCGTTGATATCGGGGAAGATATGGCCTTACCCCCCAATATCGGTGTCGACAGTTCAAAATATCGATATATCGGCCGATATATCGGTGTATCGGCCGATATTTCAATCCTTGACTATAGGGGCATGTCAGTACCAAATCAAGTATCCGCTCTTTTTACTCCCATTTCATTGAAGAACAGGGCAAAGCCCATCATGAAGCAGCCTATATGTTCAATTCTGGTGGGTTTTCAAAGTAATTGGAGTCAAATATTCTAGGAAATTGGAGTCAAATATTATATGTTTATTTAGTCAATTTTATCACAAAAAAATTGAAAGGAAATGCATTGCATGGTAGGTTTGAGTGATTTAAATAGCGAACTAAATACTATGACTTTAGAAAATTTATAGTAATTAATGAAGTGAAATGCGTTTTATATTTGAAAGTTAGAAAATCTTGTGTTTATAAGGAGTTGTAGTATTCTTTTTTCTTAATTGGAATTTTTAAGGCCAAGTTTTAATGAAACCATATTTGTGGCTCCTCTTTTGTTTTTTTCTTGGTACTTAAGTTGTTGACGAAGAACTTTATGTCATACAAATGAAATTATAGTTTAAAGGGAACTAGTATGGGGTTGTATTAGTTTATTCTGTGGTGGGAATGGCCCTACCCTCTCACTAATCCATTTAAATTGTTTTATGGAGTCAATTACAATTGATTTACTGTAGATTTTTAATTATTTATTTGTTTAAGAGTGGGAATTTCCAAGATATCCGTAATTAGCCTCTCTATATATTATATCTTAACTTAAGCGATAAGATTTAGTCTTCATAATCAACAATCTTCAAGTCAAGATGGTGATTGACAAATAGACCCCCACCAGACCACACAATCATGTAATTTACTGTGGGTCGTTGCCACGCAGAGTTAGAGCATGATTGGTCCAAATAAACTTATTGATTAGCAGTGATTGAATGGGCAGGTAACCGATAAGGGTTCCATCAACTTTGATTAATTATTTCCAATTTGTCTTATGCAGCATGTAATTAGGTAGAATTCGATGATGATAATTTTCCACTTAGGCGGTCAATGTTGGCCTTTGAAGTTCGCATAATTGCTTTTTGAATGCTGGGTATGATAGTAATTGCGTTTTTAATACTGATATTATAGTAATCGTCTACTTGTTTATTTTGTTTGTTTTCAATTGGTCTTTAGTAATTTAAAGACAAGAACATGTAATCAGAACCCATTTATTTATTTTGTTTGTTCATCACCAACTCATCCCCCAAACAAACCTAAATCAAGAGCGATTTATTTAGAAGCAAGATTAGTCGCAGACATTCCCATATATCTCAGGCCACGTCTCTCTCAAACAAGGTTAGTGAAAAATAACACCATATATCTTCCCAAAATTTCAACGAAAAATTTATCACCATATATCACGGCAACAACTTTTATTACTCTGTGTGAAGGCCTCAAATTAAGTAGGTCAAGTCCTTTCCTGGTGGGCCTCTCTTAAGTGGTGGTTGTGGAAATATATCTTCAATGTATAGAGGGGCTTCAATATTATATCAAATATAGGAGCCTAAATTCTAAAATAAAATGAACTTATATGAAATGAACTTTAGAAACACACCCAAGGCCCATTTACAACATAACAAAAAGGTTTTAAACTTCTTTTAAATTACAAACTGCCATTGATTTCTTTTAAATTACATGACTGTCCATGATGACATGTAGCTTGTAGACGAGAAACATCAGCTCCAAAGAAATTGGGTGATCACTTTGTAAAACTTTGTGTTTAACCTGGTATCTCGAGAGGTGAAAGGAATTTAGTTTGACTGGAGGATAATACTTCTTATTCTGCAAAATTTACTCTACAAGGTTCCAAAGAATGCTCTTAGCTCAAAATTTATGTATGGACTGTATGAACTGCCTAAATAAGAATTCTTGAACAGTGAACAACCAGAGCCATTACTCACAACATCACAAAATTTTCATAAATGAAAGATGTAAATCCATGTTTTTTAATGAAACAAGCCCCATAGTTTCAGCAAATCTGTATTTAGCTTAAACAATTTTTTTTTACCGTATTAGTCTAAACATTTTGGGATATTAAATCTTGTCTTAATGTACAGTTATGTCATTTTGGGATTCTTATGTGTTCGTCACTCAGAGGGTTGTATGGGATTGCCTTTTACCAATTGTGGATGCTGGGTAAAAAAAATGCACTTTGGATTATTGTATGAGCTAGCAGACAAGTTATGTCGAGTCCTTAGTTTCGAATACCCAACCCCGCCATGCAACAACAGCTCACTGAAAATGCCGCAAATGCCCTTGAGTGATCTCCAGGTTTAAGGCAACTTTTCAATTTTTGTCATGGAATTTGGCAAGTAAGCTTGATCTTTGGCTTCATTTTGAGTTTGTATGTGCTGCTGCAGCTGAACTCGTGTTAGACTGAGCTTTGGTAGTTTGGTTGTTAAATTATGTGGAAAATGGTGCAAGAATTCATGCCTTTCAATATGTGTGCAAATTTCTTTGGCTTCATTTTGAGTTTGATCAAATTGCTAATCTGCGTATTCAGTGTACAAATTTGAATGGTAATACATTTGTGCTTCTTTTTTGACATTTTCTCTCTAGTTTATAGTCAGTACCGAAGAGCTTTCTCATCCTAGAATATGTATGTCTATTGAAGCTGTGGATTCTAATCCAAATCGAGGCGAATTTGTTATCTGTGAATAATGCTAGGTAAGAGTTCAGGCAGTCTTTATCTAAGATGCTTTGGCATAAGGTGGCTTGGGGTTCCCCGTAGAAATACAATAGAATGCATGCTTCTATTATTCACTTTGGATAGTCATGCATTGCACTATTTTATTTGTTGGTTAAGGACCTTGTATTTGTGCAGATGCTGTTAGTGTGTTGTATTTGTGCACTATTATTTGTTTGTTCATCACCAACTCATCCCCCAAACAAACCTAAACCAAGAGCGATTTATTTAGAAGCAAGATTAGTGGCTGACATTCCCATACATCTTCTAAAAATTTCCATGAAAAATTTATCACCATATATCACGGCAATAACTTTTAGTACTCTGTGTGAAGGCCTCAAATTAAGTAGGTCAAGTCCTCTCCTGCTGGCCCCCTATTTAAGTGGTTGTTGTGGAAATATATATTCAATATTAATAATTTGAATATATAGTGATGTTTGCATCGTTTTCAAGCATCGTTGCTCTTATATATATACACCTAATTTGCACTGAGCAACGGCACATACACAAAGAAACATGCTAGTGCAAGCTTATAACCTAATGGCTCATGTCTTCCTTCTCTTCCTCTTATTCTCTTACATTATATCTACACATATTCATGCCTGCAAACAAACTGAACGCAGCTCCCTCCTGTCCTTCGCCTCCACTTTATCTTCTTCTCCTTTAAATTGGACATCCATTGATTGCTGTCATTGGAAGGGCATCACTTGTGATAAAGATGGTTGGGTCACCCGTTTGCTCTTGCCTTCCAATGGGCTCAAAGGAGGTATCTCACCCTTTGCACTTGCAAATCTCACCCACTTGAACCTTTCCCACAATTCACTATATGGTTCACTTGAGACTCAATTCTTCTTGTCTTTGAATCAACTTGAGATCCAGATTTGAGTTATAACCGTCTTTTGGAAAGCTACCACATTTCTTACCATCTAGCAGTATCCAAGCAATTGATTTGTCCAGCAATCACTTCTTTGGTGCAATTCCATCTTCATTTTCCAACAAGCAAGCAACTTGACTAGTTTCAATGTCAACAACAATACCTTCACAGGGTATGTCCCATCCTCTATTTGTCTCCATATTCTCCCTCCCTTAGGCTATTGGATTTTTCTTCCAATCTATTTAATGGTGACCTTGCTCCTGGGTTAGGGAAGTGTTCTGAATTGCAGGTTTTTCGTGCCAGTCGCAATACCTCTCAGGATACTTCCAGAAGATATCTATAATGCTACTAAACTTGAAGAAATTGCATTGCCTTTCAATTCACTACATGGAGCCATTAGTGATAAAATTGTCAACCTCACCAACCTTGCCATCCTTGACCTCTCCTTTAATCATTTTGGGGGCGAGCTTCCTCTCAATTTGGGGAAGCTCTCCAAATTGAAGTTTGTGACCTTTGATTTCAACAATTTGAAGGAGCTTTGCCCCCATCTTTGATGAATTGCACAAACCTTGTAGAATTGCATTTGGGAAACAACAACTTGGAAGGAGATATCTCCATGCTTGATTTCTCAGGCTGAGTCAACTTACTAAACTTGACCTAAGGTTCAATAACTTCACTGGTACAGTTCCAGTAAGCCTTTACTCGTGTAGGTCCCTAAAAGCCATTGGATTGTCTAAAAATCCTCTAGGGGGACAAATACAAGCTGAGATTCTTTCATTGAAATCCTTGTCCTTCCTCTCGCTTGGATTCAACCGATTCACAACCTCACAGGGGCATGAAGATATTCATGAGTTTCAAAAGTCTTCACGCACTCTTGCTTAGTGGTTCCTTTGTGGGTGAGGGAATGCCATCTGATGATGACATGGTTGATTTTCATGGATTCCAAAATCTTCGGGTTTTTGAGTTTGGGTTCTTCTGACCTCAATGGTCAAATACCTTTATGGTTATCAAAGCTCAAGAATCTAGAGATGTTGGAACTGGGTTTCAATCAAATCACAGGGCCAATTCCAAGTTGGTTGGGGACTCTTCCTAGGTTGTTTTACATAAACTTGTCACACAACCGAATTTCAGGTGAATTTCCAAAGAAACTTTGTAGACTGCCAAGGTTGCTTTATGAACCTGTTGCATCTCAAGTAGACGATATGAATTTGAATTGCTGTCTTCGATGACCGCCATACCCCAAGTCCGAAATTTTCTTGTTTTTTTCAACAATGATAGACTTATCTAACAATAACATTAGTGGTTATATACCGTTGAGATCGGCCAATTGCAGCTTCTCCGCAAGTTAGTTCTTGACTCAACAACTTCTCCGGCGTCATTCCAGACCAAATATCTAACCAAAAAATTTGAGATTTTGAATCTCTGAATCACTTGTCTGGAAGAATCCCCATGTCATTAGCGAGCCTTAATCTTTTAAACAATGTAACGTCTCATGCACTAACCTGAAGGACCAATCCAATAGGCCACCCAAATCCAAAGCTTCAACGCTTCTGCATTTGAGGGGAACCCAAAACTTTGTGGTGCGCCACTTCCAAATAAGTGCGAACCAAATAAGGACATGGAGTAGATAACAAGAACAACAAAGACGTGGAAAATGGACTTCATCAACTTCCATGGTTTTATATCATTGCAGCATGGGGTTCATAGTAGGATTTTGGGGGTGTGGTTGTGTTCTTTGTATATAACAAGGAATGGAGATAGAGTATTTTCTGATTCATAGACAATCTACAAGAAAGGTTCTATGTGAGATAACAGTGCATCAACACAATGAAAGGGAAGGCTTAGAGGGTAGATATATATTATTAATATTGTACTTTTATTTTGAATTTGTCAGTTTGCTTTTTTTTTTTTTTTTTTCTTCCTTTCAAAGTAACTGGACTCAAATTAAAGGATATATTTGTTTGTTCTAAAATAATGGGGATAGAAAAGTATCCAATTAGTCTTCAACCATTTGGACTTTTCTTATTAGCTATAGGTATCAAGATGAATTCTCACGTTGTAACTAAACTCCAAATAGTTTGATGACCTCGAACTCGAAATTAAGTCGGCATGGCCTTAGGTGGTGGTTTTGAGCATCATATTCACTTCAGTCAGGCTCTCTACCAAAAAGGAACGACATGGACTCAAGAACTTCGATGAGGGAAAGCCAAAAAAGGATCAAGCATGTTGAGAGCTTTTGCCACTGTGCAGTAAAAATAAGGTTTAGCTAAGTCTGAAATTATGAGATTCCTCAGGACATTTGATTCTATAAAACAAGAGTGCCTGGACCTGGACTAAACAGGGGTAGTGAAAAAAATAACACCATATTTTCCCAAAAATTTCAACGAAAAATTATCACCATCTATCACTGGCAACAACTTTCTTATCTCTGGTTGAAGGCTCAAATTAAGTAGGTTAATCCTTCCTGGGGGGCTCTCTCTAAGTGGTGGTTGTGGGAAATATTCCTTCGATGATAGAGGGGGCTTCAATATTATATCAAATATAGGAGCCTAAAATTCTAAAAAGAAAATTAAAATTATATGAAAATGACCACTTTAGAACACATTCAGGCCCATATTTACAATATATTAAAAAAAAGGTTTTTAACTTATTTTTAAATTACAAACTTTGCTCCCATTGATTTCTTATTTTTTTTTTAAAACAAATTCCAACCTCATAATCCTCATATTAAAAAAAATTCAAAACATCAATGGCGACATCAAAGTAATTTAAAATAATCAAAATTAAATTCAATATGGGCCACAGTTGTCGTTTTTTGGAATTTGTTTATCGATACCAATGGTGTTAGGTTTTGTTAGGTTTATCTATATTATTAGTGCCTAAAAAAATGGGGATTGACTAAATCTTCTTAATAAATGGCATTGTGGGTTTCAAGATGGTTTGCGCTTATATAGAGATATACTCAGATATATCTATATATATAAATCAAAAAGACAAAGAATGGTGATGAAAAATTCAAAATTACCAGTAATGCCCTTGGTTAATTCAATCATGTAAGAATTGAATTCTTAATATTAAAGGAGGATTAATATGGTAATTCCAATTTGTTTCATATTTAAAAAATTAAAATTAAAAACACAATCAGACATAGGTTCCTATCTTTTAAGGAATTATATAACTACCCAGTTATCTTTTATTAATTCTAAAAAAAAAAAAAGAAAAAAAGAAAAAACAAACGAAAAAAAAAAAGAAAAAAGAGAAACTCAATTGGCACATGCGTGCGCATGTGTAAGGGGCTAGGTATATGTATATACAGCCCTGTCAATAAGGAACCTTAAATACTTTTATTTGAGGACGCCTTTAGGGTACCGAAAATTTTTTTTTCAAGATCAAACTATATTCTTTTATGTTTTCATTCATAGTCATCCTTACAAAAAGTTTATTTTTTTTTTTTTTTTTTTTTTTTTTTTTTTTTTTTTTTTTTTTTTTTTTTTTTTTTTTTTTTTTTTTTTTTTTTTTTTTTTTTTTTTTTTTTTTTTTTTTTTTTTTTTTTTTTTTTTTTTTTTTTTTTTTTTTTTTTTTTTTTTTTTTTTTTTTTTTTTTTTTTTTTTTTTTTTTTTTTTTTTTTTTTTTTTTTTTTTTTTTTTTTTTTTTTTTTTTTTTTTTTTTTTTTTTTTTTTTTTTTTTTTTTTTTTTTTTTTTTTTTTTTTTTTTTTTTTTTTTTTTTTTTTTTTTTTTTTTTTTTTTTTTTTTTTTTTTTTTTTTTTTTTTTTTTTTTTTTTTTTTTTTTTTTTTTTTTTTTTTTTTTTTTTTTTTTTTTTTTTTTTTTTTTTTAACATTTCTATGGTGGATCAACGCCGCCGCCCAAAGGCAAAACCACAATTTTAACTATGTGTGGATCGTAGTAGACGTGCTCCTTCTACAGACTGGATATCTCACCCATGTGCGTTAGTGCCGCCCTCATTGGGACCATTCCTTCACCTTTACACGCGTAGGGGGCAAGACTTTGGGGAAGCAAGACAAAGTGGGAAAAGGCATGGTTTTGTTCTGCGTTGGCGCGGTGTGGGTATTGTCGCCACGCTAGGATCGCACACATATACTTGTCTTGCTGAGCTCAGAGCAAATATCCAAAGTGCATTTGTACCCAGCTCCACAATTTTTGGTAACGAGGGCCCTCCCATACAACCCTTCTGCGGGATGACGAACACCTAAGACTCCCATATGACATACTGTACAGGTAAAGACAAAGATTATATCTCAAAATGTTTAGACTAATTACTACTTAAAAACATTTTTTTAAAGCTAACAACACCCTTGGATTTACATCTTTCATTATAAAATTTTGTGAGGTGTGTGATAATTGGCGTCAAAATTCTTATTTAGGCAGTTGTCATTACACTTCATTAGGACATAATATTTTTGAGCTATAGAGCATTCGTTGGGAACCTTGTAGAGTATTGTTGCAAGTAATAATAGTGTCTTGGTCTCCATTCAAACTAAATTCTTTCACCCCACCTTCTTGAGATCGACCAGTTTAAAGATCAAGGGAATTTGGTCATAATGTTTTCTGTCGCAATATGATGATGGGGGGATTTACTTTTGGGAAGGACATTCCCCAAAGTTTCCATATTCTTTTTTGCTGCTTATGTTTTATATATGTCCTGATGATTATCATAAATAACAATTAATAGTAAGAGTAGTGCCAGTGTGTTGGAGGACATATGCTAATTCTTTTTCAAAAATGTGTAGAGTCCTATCCTACGGAGTTGCCTGATTTTATTACCTTTTTGTAAGCCTAAAGGCATAAAATTGTCCATGATCCGTAGGTACCGGTATGTGTATAGCATAAGATGTTTGGTGCCTATCTTCTTGTCACTGTCCAATTCTTCCAAAACCTTTTTTTAATTTATATTGGAACTTAGAGAAGATTTTTTAAGTTTTTTGTAAGTTTGTGATACACTAATTCTTTTGCTTTTATAGGGAGTAGGGAAGCTGCACATTTTCATGACAATTAGATATCTCTTCTCCTTCTCTTTTTTGTTCTTTTTTTTTTCTATACATTAGGTGTTTTTGAAAGAGAGGGTTTTGGTTCACATACACAATATTGTCAATGTGACATGATCAGTTGCATTAAGACTCCCTATTTACAAATCAGGCCGTTTTCCATAAGTTCTAACTCTATGGGCTTAGACTTGTTCTTTTAACTATATTCTAGGGACCAATAAAAAAACTAAAATTTGACTATTTCCCATCCTAAACAATTTTCCTCAATCTTTTCTGATTCACCACTTGGTCAATACCTGTTACATTATGAATTTATATCATTGTTGCGCTTTCAAGCACAATAAAATCTGATTTTTTGCCCTTGCCAGTATCCATGCTGGTTGCGTTTTACTTATTGATACAGTTTAGTTAATTGCAAAGTCTTCCCAACTTTTTATTGCAGAGTTGTGTTATAATCTGTATAGGATGGGTCAATGATTTTTTTAACGTTAATAAAAATATCTCACGGAGTGTATTTCAATTCGCTTTCATTTCGATGCAAAGCATCACT